CCAAGCTGAACCCAGCTGGTGGAGGTCAAAGAAGGGCCCCCCTCGTGCACGGAGAAGACAGCCATTCCCCCCCCCCTCTCCTTTTGGCCAGAAGTCTGTGCCTTCCCCCTTCTCCTGTCCCGCAGGCACGGGCTGGGTCCCAGGAGGCAGAGACCCCCAAGGGCTAACACAGCAGGCCCCTCCTCCAGGGACTGAGCCACCTCTCCAGAAGCACAAGCCCCCGGAGTCCCCGAGAACGTGAAAGGAGGACATTTCTTGCCCGCACACACAGGAGAAGCCGGCCTTCAGCCAGCGTGGCGGCCTCCTTCCGTTTCCTGAGGTGCCCAATACACATCGAAGCTGTCCTTAAGCCACCATCACAATCCACCTTCTCTGCCACCCTGTGCTCCCAGGATTTCAGGTCCCGGCTGAAGGTGGCCTGTGGCATCCCTCTCCCCAGAGCAGCTCCACGCAGGGAGGCCACGGCACTCACAGACGCTACGCAGCAAGAGCTCCAAACAGCAACACCGACCGTCCAGGAGGCGGGCTCTGGAGGTCACTCCCGTTGCAGGGGAGGGAAGAGGGACCGAGGCCGTGACGCAAAGACGGCAAAGACGGAGTGGGGGAGGCATCAACAAAGGGGTCTGTCCAGAAGCAGCGGCTCAGTGCTTGTCCGTGGCCAACGTGCTGCCGTTGGCCTTCGGCTTGGACTTGAAGGAAAAGCGCTTGATGAGACGCCGGGAGAAGCTGCCGGATTTCTTCCTGGGGGCAGAACTCGCACTGGCGTTTGGCAAGTCGTCGTGGGACTGGCTGAGGCCAGCTTCCTTCTGCTTGTTCTTCCTTCGGAAAATGAGTTTGGTGCCGCTCCGCAGGAAGTTCACTGCAGCGGGAGAGAAAAGGGACTGAGCACCAGGAGACTCTCATCCAGAGCGGCTTGGCCAGCCGCGGTGAGAGCCCCACGGGGCTTGGACCAGCATCCCTAACCAGAGAGTGGGAATCCTTCCTTGGGCGGTGGGGTCCTGAAACGGGTCACAGAATCACAGAAAGTGGGAAGGGGCCACACAGACCATCTTGTCCAGCCCCCTGCCCAATGCAGGACCTGCCTACAGCATCTCTGACATTTGTCCAGCCTCTTCTTGAAAGCTGCCAGTGAAGGGGAGCTACCCACCTCCCCGGGCAGCTGATTCCACCTCTGAACCACTCTGACCGTGAAAACGTTTTTCCTAATAGCCAGCTGATACCTTTCTGCTTGTAACTTAAACCTGTTGCTTCGGGTCCTCTCCTCTGCTGCCAACTGGGACAGCTCCTTGCCCTCCCCCAAATGGCAGCCTTTCACATATTTAAAAAGTAATCATATCCCCCCCCAGTCTCCTCTTCTCCAAACTAAACCTTCCCAAGAAGTCCCTCAGCCTTTCCTCGTAGCCATTCTCAGCTCAGGCTGGTCTCCCACCCGAGGACTCACCAGGGCCAACCCTGCTTTGTGCCTGAAGCCGGAAGATATCCGACCACCCTGAGCCACCCAGGTCATGGCAGGACCAGCTGCTCAGAAGGGGAGATGCCGTCGATGGTGCCCAAGGCAGGCGCTCTGCCCCACCTCGCCCCCCCCCCCCCCCGAGAGCTACAGCCAAAGGAGTCTGGGGACTGGGGAGGCCGCCTCCCTCACCTTTGTGGTCTTTCAGGCTTCTGGTCTCCAGAGCCCCCGTGGAGCCAGTCTCCGATTCCACGTCCTCCACCGAGGGCCTCTCAGAGATGTCCGAGCGGGTGGTCTCATCCAGCTCCTGGCTGGCCCGGTGGGCCGAGGAGAAGGCCTCCGGCTCTGCGGTGCTCTGAGTGTGGTCCAGCATGCCGGCCATGATGGAGTCTTCGCGGAGCGAGGCATCCAGAGACGCGGCGTAGCCAAGGGAGAGAGCCATTTCGTCTTGTGCAATTGGTACCTGGGGTGGGGGGGCAGCCAGAAGGACGGGCCAGTAGAAGCGAAAAGGGAAAGGTGTGTTCCCCCCCCCCAACCCCTTCCCAAGAAAGGACTGCTGCCCAAAGCCCGAGGAGTCGCCAGCTACCTTGGAGACCCCCGAGATGATGAGGGTGCTGCGCTTGGTGGGCGTCTTCTTCACCGGCCGATTGGTGGCCTCCGTCAGCTGCCTGATGGCCGTCTCAGCAACAGGGTCCAAGCCGTTAGAGACATGGCTGCTTCCTGGGAGAAAGGGATGCCGTCGGAGGGGCCCTCAAGTTCCCGCACGGGGCGGCAGAGCGACAAGGGGCTGGGGAATCCCTCCCCCTCCCCCGCCCAAGAAGACCTTGGCTGCAGCTGCCC